AGTCCCATTGATACCAGTTGGAGATACTCAATATTCTCACAGATTCTAAAGTTAGACCAGTTCCGTAGGTGCTTGAATCTGGAATCACATTTTAGACAGACACTTTTGAAAGCTGGGGGCCAAGTGACCCCATTCATTTTTATCAAGGCAAGACTGTAGTGGAAACTGAGGAATGCGATGCTTTTGCAATTACATATTTGCAGCAACACGCCATTGCGTGTGGCAGTAGAATGGTTTTTAGACTTTCTGGACCTCAGGTGGTTTTTGCTCCTAATACCATTAAAAGCCTATTTACTGAAACAGCCCATAAGGCAAACATCAGACCCGCAGGAACAGCAGCTGAAGTGGGAGAGACCCTCTGAACTCCATGAAATATTTACAAACAGCTTTAGGAGCCCTGGGATGAATTAAAGTACTTTCAAGCACAGACAGAAAACCTAATGGATATAAAAATCCTTTTTTAGCTTTTGGTGACATTTGTTTTCACAGACCTAGCTATGATATGAGAAAATGTATGAGGTCATCCAGCCTGCCTCCTCCTCTTCCAGGAAAGAAGTGGTCCCTGTGCTACATTTTATAACACTTGGCTCAGCCTAACTCTACCTGACTCAGACAACAGAAGCCAAACCCACTTCTTGGGAATCTTCTCAATTTTTTATAAGTATTTCACTTGGTGGAATTTTCCCCACTCTTCCACCCAGAACAATTCAATGCAGTACATATAAAGACACTTTGATGTCATGATCATTATCCTGTTGATTTCATACTTATCCCTTCAGAGAACCCTAAGCAAGTTCTCAGCAAGCGTGGTGGTGATGTCCCTCTAACATCTGTCTACAGTCATGCTCTTCACCATTTGGACACACCATAGCTGTGCTCTGCTGTGACTGAGTCTTCACAAGCAAATTCTTTCAGCTATTTTCATGTCTCTTCCTTCCTCTCTGTACTCAAGACATTATGATTACACCTGAGGAAAAGGACAAGGAAAAGTGAAGAGGAGAAAGAAATGAAGAGACTAAAATGCCTTTCTTCATGCTATCCCAGCTGTGCAGGCACAGGAAGATCCACCTAAATATCTGGCCCATATACACAATTTAATTCTTACCAGGATTTATGATAAGGGTGTTTGAGATAATGAAGAAAGAGTCCTCTTGAAGGATTTTGTTTCCAGGATCTACTCCCAAGGGATTGTACAAGAAGTATCACAATCAAAAAGTCAGAGAACCGAGTTTAAAGGAATCAATCTCAGATCCCCATAGCACTTGTTTTCTTTGCATATTATCCACTGTGCTTCAAAAGAAAGAAAAAAAAACATGCAAACCACAGTCATTCCCTCATCAAAGGAGCCTTTGAGATTCGTGAAGCTTTTCCAAAACATGTAGACTTTCTTGATTGTTGTTTTTAAAAATGATCCTAAAATGGCTTTCAGACTCAGAGTGGTAGAGGAATATGCACACAGATACTTTAAAATTTCAAAAAATATTTACAGTTTAAGAAATACCTGTGATTTTTTTAATTTTTACTTTTTGACCAAATAGGGTTTTATCAGCATTTGAAGTCTGTAACATCTAAAGCAGAACAGTGAATGCAGTCATTTACCACAGCTTATTTTATGTGTTAAAAACGTCATCAACTGTTGCATACAATCATCTCTCTGAAATACGCAGAGGTACAAGTTCTACCATGGCCAGACTCTTTACACAAGGTTCTCCTGGGGTAAATTCCCATCCTAGAAGCAGCTTACCCTCATGACACTATTCACTAAGTGATCATTATTCTAATTTTACTCTTGAGGAAACATAGGCAAGCAAGACAAAGCGTTTGTCTAAAACTATAGAGTAACTCAGGTGCATTTTGCTGACCTGTGTGAACTCAGCACATTGCTTTAATAAGTAGAATAAACTCTTTCCAAATTAGGAGAAACTTTTTTCAAGTTAATACTTTCCTGAGCAGAGCACATGTATTTTAACACACTGGTACCTTTGTCAGAAAGCAAGATTGCTTTTTTTTTTTTTTCCCCCTTCCACCATTACAAAGTATGGTCATATGCAAGTAAACTTCTGCCTGTCTGCAGGACTTTCAATAGTAAGAAGTTCTAGCAATAGCTGCACTCCCTATAGGATATATACGGCAACTGGGTCAGCCCGTTTACAAAATAACTTGTGATTATCAAGGCAGTACTCAGCAGCTATGACTATATTATACCAGAGTGTAATTATAAGACAGACATAGTTAAAGCACTGTAAAATAAGGAAGCAGTGGTACTTAATAAAGCTGTCCAGGCTTGGGAAGAAGTTCGGTTTTTGACACTCAGTTAGACTCTCAGAGAAAGGCTAACCAGGTTTATTCTGATCAGAAATCAAAACATCCACTTAAACATCGGCTGAGGACAGTCAGCTCACACCCGCAGGAAAAGAGTGACTTTTGTAACAAAACACAGCAGTTTGAATGGTGAAAAGAATCATTGCAAGGGGAAAGCCAAAAATAAAAGTCTAATTGAACTTGTTTATTTGTACATAAAATGGATAGGCCACTATACCAAAAGCTGTATAAAGCGTAAGTGTTCCTATCCCTACCCCTTGGATAATGGCTGAAACCCTCCTTCCCCTCCTAACCATACATACTCCATTAATACCTGGCACGAGGGTTCAGGATTGACTTCCAATTTGTCTAGTGATTCACAAAGCGTGGCCTTCTTCAGGCGATGTCTATTCCTAAATGACAGAGCACGGGTTAGAAGGGAGGTAGGATACCCCAGCTATGGAGAGGAGAAGGCTGTATTTTCTGGAACACAATAGTTACACTAATGTTCCCAACAAGCAATGGATTATGCCAATACTGGGGTATACTCCAATAATGGCTGAATTGTCATTATTTTATGGTGAAGTCTCAGGGAATATCTGAAGGGTGGCTGTCAAGAGAATTGAGCCAGACTCTTCTCAGTGGTGCCCAGCAACAGGACAAGGGGCAATGGGCACAAACAGAAACATAAGAGGTTTCAGTAGAATATGAGGAAGAACGTCTTCACTTTGAGGGTGACAGAGCACTGCAACAGGCTGCCCAGGGGGGTTATGGAGTCTCCTTCTTTGGAGATACTCAAAGCCCGCCTGGATGATGTCCTGTGCAACCTGCTCTAAGTGAACCTGCTTTAGCAGGAGGGTTGGACTAGATGATCTCCTGAGGTCCCTTCCAACCCTTGCCATTCTGTGTTCTGTGAAGGGGAAATGGCCATTTTTGAGAAGGCCTAGTTCTAGCAAGGTGAGTACTACAGAAGAAAGAACATGCAAAATCAGGCAGGGGAACCTTTCTTGTACCTACACTGCTTTTTTTTTTTTTTTTTAAACGAGTTACCATTTTTCCACTCCATCCACTTTGCTTCTGTAAACACTGCAGAGAAAAGACGAAAATCAACAATTCAGTCCATTTGTTTCACATCTGCTTACTTCACAGGCACTTCCATCAGCTTCTCTCCCTTTTTGGATATGCTGCTCTATCTTCCCAAAGCATGTTCCCAGGGTGATGCTTTGATTCTAGAGCAGGTTTGCTCTGGCAGGTTGCAGGCAAAGGGGATCATTCTAGATGATGAGCCAAACAAGCCCTTTACTTCCATGCTCGTGACAGGAACTTCTCAAAATCCATAAATAGGTAGGAGGCTTGGAGTAGACAAGGAAGAACAGATCTGATCCCCAAGCTCAATTATCCAATATCACATGTCTGAGTCTGTATCTGTGTCTAGCAAGGTGGCACGCTGATACAGAACACCTGCAGCACTCACTGCCTTCAGGAGGCTCTGTAGATCCTCTGTCCTTACGCAGGCTAAGCGCAGATTCAGAAGCATAACCACGGCCAGTCATGCTGTTTAAGTATTTTACATGTCATTGCATGTATACTCATCACCAGGTCTGCCCACACATAGGAAGTTTAAGGTCACGCATACTTACTCTACTGGAGCAGGACCATAATTGACTTTTTGATGCATGCACACTTTCTCTCTTGCACGTTTATACTGTCAAAGCTTCAAGTGTTTCACAGGAACAAAAAAATATGCCGTTGATTTTTCATCTTAAATTGTAGAAAAAACATTTTCATTGATCTTTGGTTTAATTTTAGAAGACCTCAAGTTCTTGCTGACAGAGCTGTTTTAAGTACAATCATCAGCTGTCCAAAGCTGCCACAGTAGTTCTGCTGAAGAGGTTCAGAACTGGTCTTTCTCTCCACTGAAGCAAGCAACTGAGCAACTTCACCCCTCAAAGCACAGTCAGGCAGCAGCAACCTTCCTACTCAGGTAATTCCCTCTCCTACCTAGTACATGGCTCCACACCGTTCTTCTTCCTGCAGAGGAATTCAAGGGAACCAGACTGCTTGCCCTCAGCTGCACACACGTGTCCCAGGAACCAAATACTCCCCAGAGGGCCCATCACAGGCTCTGTAAGCTTCAGTACCAGACAAGTCACAACCCACAGACCACACACAGAAGAACACTAAAACACCGTAGGCACATTAGAGTTCAGTGGAAGCTGGAAGTTACTTAAAGGTTTTTAAATTAGAACGAGAGAGAAACTTACCACTACAGTACAGAGCAGACATATATTTCACTAACTTCTATAGCATTTTGTTGACTGTGGCAGGTGCTTCTCCCACAACACTGTGGATCTCCTAAATTCAGCTTCTCTTAGAGCTCTGAAAACCAGGTAACACTTAGTAAGGATACTGAACAAGAACTACACTTTTAATACAATCAGCACCTCTTCAATCAATAACTTTGGTTAAGTACAGTTGTTGAGCTGTCAGAAGTTTATGTGGGTCCATTGATTTCAAAGATCAGATGGATCCCTTCAAATACACTTAAATTTTAACAAGCTTGGTTTCAAAATGTCAGTAGGTTAGTAGAGCTCCCTACTTCAGAACACCTCTGTATGCAAAATCAAGCATACCCCAAGCTAACTGCAAATACTTTCCGCTCCACTCATTTTTAATAGCTCCCCTTTACTACCTCAGGGATGTTCCTCTAAGCTTACATGGTCTGGAAATTAAAAGATGCCATTTCAGGACTGACAGGTAAGAATGGCAGACGTATGTAATCATTAATATTAGCAACACTGAAGGAGCCTAGTGATAAAACCGCATACTGAATACCAGTAAAGCTGGATCACCTTATGAAGTACTTCATACATGTCCTCCAGGCAATCTAAATTCCAAATCCTTTTATTACAATAAACCTAAATATTGTATTTTAATTAGTAGGGCATCTCAAACCAGAAACCAGTTTGAGTCTTCATATTTCAGCCTCTTCTGTTGCAGTCTCTAAATATTCAGGGTACAATGAGAGTGCTGTGGGCAGGCAATGGACCACAAAGTATTGTCCAGCGCAAAATGGAGAACAATAGATTCTAACAGCAACTTAAAAAAATTAAAAGCCACAAAACCCTAAGGCTACCTGAAGTGACACTCATTATAACAGGCAAGATGACAAGCAGCAGTAGAAGCAGGAAACCTTATTTTTTTGTGGCTAGATGCAAAACGGTGTTGATATTAATCCAAGGAAGTAAAACAGACAATGAAAACCAAACAGTTTTCCAGATCCAGAGAAATTGAAACAGCTACAGGTGATGTAGAACATCAAGAAAAAACACTGAGCACTTATTTTAACTATTGTTTTTACTATTTGGGTATGAGAGGGCTCTGACAAACTTATGTGCTCCAATATACAGTACATTTAAACTACAAAAATTCAGAAACAGTAAAACCACAAAGACCCAAGTGCACTCCCAAGGTGGACTCCAGTATTTGACAGCGTGTTTGTTGTGCCCCCACACACAGCTCACATGCCAAGCCCTCTCCAGCTGGGAACAGAAAGCCTTTGTTACAGCTGTTGTCTAGCATTTCCAGAGTAGTATGTTATATTGTCCAAGTGGCACTATTTCTTCTTGAGAGCTCTCTTCCCTTCTCCTTTCTTTGGTTTTTCCTTCCCACGGAGCTTTTTCAATCGCCTCATCTCCTCCTTGAAGTCCTGATGCTCATCCCTAGACGGGGGAGGGAAAGAAAAAAAGTTTACTCTCTTTCTTGGAATACCTAGATGTGAAAGGTTCTTTGAACTGTATGATAATGAAAAACCCCTCAAAACTTTTTTTAACAGTGAACCCCATACTGAAACTCACTGCAGTGTATTCAGTGTTACCGCTAGCAGTAATTTTGGATGGAAAAAACTTGAAAGATTTCCTCTGGTACTTTCAGAACAAGGTTGCCCTTTTCAGCAACAAATGGTGTGTGCATATATATTATTTCTATTGCATTTATCGATCCACTGTGTTTAAATGAGCAGTAAAATATAAAAATCACCAAGAGACAAGAATGAGAATTTCCCCCTTCTCATCTAGCTCAGCAGTCTAGCAATAGCACATTGTGTTTCTGTGCTAGATACCAAGTTCAGGTCATTAGCTTCTATGAAAACAGGGGCATGCTGAGCAGTAATTACAGTACATGACACTGCTCTCAGGTGACTTCAAGAATGAGTTATGAAGAAAGCATCAGCTACTGGTAGAATCTTAATAGGAGAATAAAACACGAAGGAGGATAAAGGGGCTGTCAGAGATAATGAATCCTCAATAATGTTCTAATAAATTCTATTTAATCTCTGCCCCTGTATTTTTCAGTGTGAAGGTATTTTTCAAAAGCCACAACTGCATCCTAAGTGGCCTAAGATTGCTGCACTGCTATTTTTAAATACAACTTTCCTAAAAAAGAAACAAAAAGCCTGTGAGTTATTATCAGGCCCTTTTACTCTACAACTCTTCATTACGTATTTCTAACCCGCAAACCTGATCCTCTACAAGCTCTCTGTACAGAGCAGCTAGAGAAGGAACTTGAGATTAGGAGGGGAAGAAGAGTAAAGAACATTATTGTGCCATTGAGGCTTTCTGTGTCAAAAAAAAGCTATTCTAGAAAGTGTTTGTGTGTCCACCTAAACCAAGAGCATCCTGGATGCAATCCTTCATGGCTAACATTGTGATACTAGCAATAGAAATGAATCTGTTTTGACTTTACAGGGTTAGCAGCCTCACTTTTAAG